GGGGGAGGGAGGAAAGGGAGAGGGTGGGGGAGGGGGGGGGGGGGGGGGGGGGGGGGGCATCATGACGAGCGCTAGTACTACGGTATGACGAAGGGTAGTGCGCCGTGTACCGTTGTACACGGGCGGCTGGCAGCATTCGAAGCGGATCGCATGTCAACTCCGTTCATTGGTGCAAATCTACAGCAGTACAGCACCACACTCGTGTTATACGCACTCACTGCGGGATGAAGAGAACAGCTATGGCTACTGCAGCCATGACTTCGAGCACACAAAAGGTGGCGAACAGGAAGTGTTGGAATGAAGAAACGAACGACGAGAAGCGGGGACCAAGCGGTCTCATCTTCTGCCTCGGAAAACAGGAAAGTGGCATCCGCCTTAGGTCAACACCGTCCGTGTCGACCGCAGGCTAAACCGGCCGTTACGCGGAAACAACCTCGGCCACGTGTATGTGTGCGCACGAAAGCAATGTCTGAACGACTGTCGACGAAATATCTCCCTTCATCTCTTTGTTGCACTCATCAAAAATCAAACCCATGAGCCAAAACCTTGTCCGTATCAGTCACAACCACTCGGCAACCGCGCTGGTGCTTCCAATCCCTCGTCGTCCCACACGGACTTCAAAAATCATTGTCGTAAGCCCCAGCGCACCTCTGCCATGCGCTCGCGGATGATCTCGACGATGGCGCGTTGCGTTCTCCGGTCGAGCTTCTCCAGCTTCTTCTCCACGTCTCTCTTCAGGTCCCAGTTCGCCTTCTTGGGGGCGATGTTCAGCTCCCCCTCGTCTTGCGTCTCCTGCGGCGGCGGCAACGGCAGCAGCAGCAGCAGCAGCAGCAGCAGCAGCCGCAGCAGCAGCGGTCAGTGGTCAGTCAAGCGTGGGGGTTGTTTGGTGGCCACGGGGGATGCTCGGGGTTCTGCCAAACACGCGTGACTTCGTCTATAAAGCGCCAGCGTGCTGGCACCACCACCACCGCTGTCTGCCACTAATTAGACGAAAATGAGAGAGACAAGAGTCAAGAAGGAATACAGATAACGCCTGCAATTTGCGAACGGCTACAACAGTTTTGGTGAGGGGTTCGGGTTCTTACAGTAGTTCCTCTTGTGGCCTACAAATGGCCGCAATATATACGTTTTAGTGTAGGGGGTTCTTAACTGGGCTCACAAACTCTCACGCACTCGAGTTCTGATGTTCGATACAATGTTGAGCATGAAGGAGTGCGGGTGCTATGTGTCGGCCGCCACGCCAACGTTGTGTTTGACCCTGTTGGACACGAGAGGGGGGAGAAACACAAGAGTCGTGCAATGGCCCACCGGTCCGGCGGCCACTCCTAAGAGAGCTCAACCTGGTGTTCCCACGTGAAGCAGCCTAGCCCTGCTGCCTACCAAGATAGTAGACAACGGCTGCTGTGGGTCATGGTGGCCTCGTGATAGCGGACAGCGAACGAAGGGTCTGAGGCTCTCCAGGTCACCATGTTCGTGAACGTAAATGAAAACGCCGAGGTGCTTGGATTGATTTGCTAGTCAGGTGGACTCAAGCAATCCGCGGCTTCATTATCATCCATGTTTCGAATGCCGGTGGTATTTTTTGACATCGACATGGTGCAAACCGGCGATGATGGCTAACTACGTTACCGATGGCTACACCAAGCAGGATTGCAATAATACTCCGTGGGGCCATGGTAATTGCGAGCCCTTTGACAGCAACCTACAGGCACGTGTAAAGGCACACTCACTCTACCGATTCGGAGTCGGACACATAATTCGCGCTGGCATCCAACAACGCCTTATTACACATGACACCTTCTGCTTCTTGAGCTCTTGCTGGATCAAGCTCGACTCTGGCGCCTTTCGCTTCTCCTCCTGCTCCTCCTCGGGTTCCTCTTCTCCCTCTTTTCTCCCTCCTTTTTGGGTGAAGGGGTCAGTCACGGTCACGAGTTTCGAACCGCTTGGATAAGCAGGAGGTGTTGAAAACGTTATTTCCAAGATGAATTTGTCGTTTTTTGTTGCCAGCGGGACATCGTGCCGCAGGCATGCAGTCTATCAACCGTGGATTGCCGGCGTATGGTCACCACCTCTACCGTTGGTCAAGAGTACTTTGCATGTACTCTCTCACCAGTTTGAACAACGGATATAGAGTGGTAGAAAATAATCCGGTTTCTATGTAGTACGGGGGGCAGCGGAGGAGAATGCGCGGAACGGTTCAATTTTGGGCTTTTTTAAGTCAATTGTTGAAGAAAACACAAAAAACACCAAGAGTCAGCGAATTGCAGACGAACATGGCGAGAGCGGGGTGTTGGTACTGCTGTACCATTGAACGTCGGCATGTCGTTAATTTTTCAATCCCCGTCCCTCGGGGGTTTTCTGGATGGCCGACCTTTCCCCCGAAAGCAAGTGTTATGACCCATACAGTAGTCAGCACCATGCGTATGCAATTATGTAGAAACCCACAGCACCTCTCCACTCGCCGTTGCTGGCAAAAGCGGGGTCTGGGGTGGTGGTATATTGCGTCATACGCAGTGCGACTGGTGTTGTGAGGCTCTTCCTGCGTGTGATCTGATGATGATCAAAATCCTGCACTATCGCAAGTACAACACATCCGAAAAACAGCAGCGTCGATGTTCCCGTCGATCCACCACTCCAATACAGGCAGCCCCGTATTGGGCACCGCCGCCCACTCGCAGTACAGCAGTATATCCAAAGAAGGCAGCTGTGGGTGCTGACCTCAAAAAGCAGCTTCCGACTACATCCTATTGTAGGGCTAGATCGCAACACCCACATCGACGCACGCGCGCACCTCCCATTGACTTCCCCGACGGCGACGCTGCGCCCTCCCCCTTGTTGGCACCACCACTGCCGCTACCGCTTGTTGGCTCTCCAGCCTTGCTGCTATCCAGGGCCTGCTGCCGGATGGCGGCATCTTGCGGGCGATAGTTTCTAAACTTTATGCTCTTGTTCGCCTTCTCTTTGAGAGCTTTTAACCGACTCCTCCTCTCAGCTCCACTCTCACTCATGGTGGACGGCGCGGCGACTTTCACGGCACCCGTTATGGAGGCAGGTAGTGGTAGGGCGCTCGCTCACTTTTCTTTGTTGTTGGTCAACATCAGGGGCACAGCGTTGCAGGGTCGGCCGAGGGGACCCACAGAGTGTACATGTGAAGAGTTTTGATGGGAGTTGTATTGCGCCGCCCTTTCTCCGCACAACTGCACTGGTCACCGGAAACACAGGGCAGGAGGGAGGACGGATATGGATGCGCACAGGACGAACATCCAGTGATAGCTACGGAGCTGCGCGAGGCGACAGAGCGGAGGAGCTGTTGCGATTCGGAAATATATATAACTCGAGAAACGCAGGTTTGTTCTGTGAGTGTAGACAACAACAACAAGAAGCCAGCAGACGGGACTGCTTGCTGTGTGGCAACCCTTCCGCGTTCCGAGTTCCGGGCCTATATACACGACAAATTACCTTGAGAGCCGGAAACAACTGCTGTTGAAGGAAGCAGCAGCAGCAGCAGCAGCAGCAGCAGTGCCAAATTTTCGGGGACCGACTAACGGAGTTTGCCAGCTACTGCTGTGACATCAAAACGTCCGCCTCTTGACACCGGCGGCGGCGGTGGCGGCGGGCCTTATTTTGGCACCGCGGTGGGGAAACTGCAAGGAGCGGGACGCCGTACAGGGTACAGCAGTAGTGCGAAGAAGTACCGGCGAGGGAGACACACACACAGAGAGAGAGAGAGAGAGAGAGAGAGAGAGAGAGAGAGAGAGATGGGATGCGTGCAATCTGCATCCTCAGCAACAGCAACCGTAAAGTGTAGCGATGGCACCACGGAGGCGTCCGAGTCCCCCTCGCGTCACGCCTTGCGGAGGGAAAAATCGATAGCAGCTCGCGCTGCGGGCCGTGCCCCCAACAATGATGGCGGCAGCGACAACAACAACAGCAGTAGTACCGGTGGTGGCCGGCCTTCGCCGGAGGCAGACTTGCCTATCAACTGGAACCTGAGGTTCAAGGACCTGGTCATTCTTGAGCACATCGCAAACGGGTGAGATTTTTGCATATTTATGCACACGGCGCTCCTCTCCACGAATGGCGGTGGATTTGTACGTACAAGTAGTCAGAAGTGGTAAAATATATTAGTGGTACACATGTAAGATGCGACACTGCGCATGTTCGTGGAGCAGCAGCGGCGGCATTAGGAAAAAATACAGCACGGCAGTGGTTTATGACGTCACCAAAACTACGTTCAACCGGAAGGACTAATGTAAACTTTACGGTAGTCCTTCCGGTTGAACGTAGAGTTGGCGACGTGGGCAGCGCGGGGCGTTGGGGCTATATAAAGATGGACCAACCCCGTGCGTTCAGTCGCCGCCAGGGTGGAGTTTGTGTGCCTCCCCGTGCCATGCGGATGTGGAGAACTTGGTGCCTTACTTAGTGCTCATGACGTTTCGAGTGTGTGCGTCCCATCTCCCCACGTCATGTTATGTATGACGTTCGAATGTGGGTATATCTCGAACGGATAGTCTTTCTTTCTTTCTTATTTCTGTGTGTGTATTTATTTTTTCCAAGACGCATGAAGGCAAAACAAGACACACTTCGTATCTAGTCTACCGTCCTGTTGCGGTATCTTGTCAAACTCTGGGCGACTTACACTCTTTCCGAAGCGCGCTGCACATGAATCCATGCGAACAAAACCTCAAGGGTAGATTAGGAAGCATAAATACAAACACAGAAAGACTGGACCCATTCGACCAACTCTGTTCCCCCTGCTGAGGACGAGCCACCGCGGCCCGCTGCTGCCAAAATGTAAAACTTACATTACAGAAAGTGCCGCCGCATAATTGACTCAGGAGACGCGATGATTTTCCGGAAAGCTCTGGGAGTCTCCTCCAACAGGAGGCTAAATCAGTACATTGAACTACACCCCCTCATTTGCGTTTGACCGATGCTCACCTGTAAAGAAACGCATAAAATAATGGCGAATGTCTGGTGTTTGTGTCGGATATTTTGTAAGGGTGGTGTTCGACAGTTGCACGTGCGTATGCATGTATCGAGTCTCGAATGTTCTGGACTCGTTTACTGCGAATCGAGCGATCCGGTTTCGTTCCGGGAAGATGGAGACGGAAGGAGGGAGGCGTTTCGCTCGGAGAAAACCCCCTTCTTCAACGCCATACCACATACCACACACCTGCCTGGAGACTATGTAGAGGCTACCTGAAACAGGCCCTTTGAGTCGCTCTCTCTCTCTGCAGTTTATCTCCTGTACTTGTCTTCTTCCGTGTCCTCTACTCCTTGCGGGAGAATATGTACTCCTGCTGTACAAGACAGCACTCACTGCTGTACCTCGTCTATTTGTATGAAAAATCATAGCATCGACTGTGCGAATCGGTTGACCAATGAAAACACTTCCTTTGTTTTATTTGGGAATGTTTATCAATCAGAGTGTGGCATAAAGTCTTGGCGCCAGCCTACACCTTTCGGTATACACAGGTTTTCCCAACCATAGGAACTTTCAAGCAGTGCGGATATTATTGTACGCCCTATGTTTTCTCATTTATTTCTCTTCAAACTGCCGTGCATTTTCTTGGCATCCTCTGTTGCTGTTACGTGGTCTTGTCAATGCCAGCATGTGACAATACGTACGTAAGAACGTTGTCGAAAGACCGCAGACACAAGTTATGACCGGTCAACTAAAATCGGCCTCAGGATTGCCGGCACTAGCTGTAGCGTGGCTTGTTTTTGTCATCCCCTCCCCCAGCTGGACCTGGCTGAGCCCAGTTCTTTCACCACCTCATGCTCCTCACACAGACCTCTACCTGCCACCAATCTAGACGGGCACCTCAAGCAAGGCACGCCCCCGCCTGACGAAAAGCTGTTGTCACCCTTTGATGTTTAAATGAGAGAAGCGCTGCGTGATCCCATCTCAATCGAAGCTGTGCATTCTGCGCGACGTTTTCAGCTCTTGGGATGCAACTCTCACCTACTGCTGTAGGGTGGCCTGAACGATATGGTCTCCCATTTCGGCAGATACTAGAATCAGACACAGTATAGATGAACGAACGACTGCATGATATGCACAATTTGGAACCGTCGTAATGGTGATCATAGTCGGCCTGCGACATTCGGTGATCGAGAAAACCCCAATAGTTTTAGCAGCTGTGCAATGGGGCCCCGCAAGACGACCATGAGCCTACACCTCCTAAGATATGATGAAAATCCAAGCCACGCAAGCGCGCAAGACGGAAGTAAACGCCGCGGGCCTGGAAAACTAGGGCTACCCAAACTTGACAGGAATCGGGGTGTGCACCTCTATGTGCATGTGCGCAACACATGGAGGACATGCAGTTTTGGATTACCAGTTGGATGATTATGATTTGTAGCAACGCCTGTCTTGTGCGTAGGCCTGTTCGCTCAGCCTGCGCCTGTCTCGTAGACTGATTACTTCGACCTTGCCGGCCTCTCTAACAAATACAATAGCACTGACGACTCAGCAACCGGTTGTTGTCTGTTTTCTGCACCCATTGTGTGCCTGTGCAGTTTACTGTCGTGATCATCATTCAACGCCCTGGACCACACGACCAAAGACGAACGAACAACAGCCAATACCAATACCAACGCCCTCCCCCCCCCCCCCTGAATAACAACCACTTTTTTTTTTCACCAACGTAGCGGTTACTGCACAGTCCTGGGGTGCATGCTCCACGGAGAGAAGCGGGCGGGCAAGATCCCCCTGGCCACCTGCTCCGATCCGGAGGGGGCGGTTGCCGACCTCACCAATGAGATAAAAATACTCAAGCGCCTCAGGCACCCGCACCTGTGCTCCGTGTACGGTGCGGGGGGTTGGCGGGCGGAGGGGGACCTGCCGTTCCTGGTGCTGGAGCGGTTGCAGTACAAGAACCTGGCGCAGCAGGTGTGTGCGGCCCCTTGCGCGTAGATGTTGTTGTTGTTGTTGTTGGTGGTGGTGGTGTTGCTTGGCGATTTTTGTTGTTGCTGTTGGTGATGGGTGTCGTTTGGTGATGGCTGTTGCTGCTGTTGTTGTGTGGTGTGTTGTTGGTGGGTGTTGTTGTTGTTGTCGTTGTTGTCTTCACATTCTTAACTATTTCTGAGGTGTTAACAGGACACCTTCCGTGCCGCTCGTAGCAAAGAAGCAGCCTCCGTGGTCACAGGCGTACCATTTGGAGGAGCGCAAGAAAAACGCAATTATTCTGTCGCACAAACAGGCGCGTTCATTTGTAGACTTCAATGTTGCCTGCCTCTTGATATTTCTCAGAAACTTGAATGTCCAACGCGCGTACATTGTAGTGGCTTTTTTTGGGCTTGCGAGGATAGGGATATCGTCACTCGTCAAACACGCTGACCCCTAAGTGGGATTGTTTCCGAGCTCGATATCTCATCCACATTGGGTTGCCAATCAACCGTCTGCTTGGGGAACTTCTTTTCCTCAACAACCTCTTTTTTTTTTTTCCAAACTCCGCTTCTTGTGATGGTACCTGTTGGACATCGAGGTTTGGAACACTCACCGGCTTGTTTGGGGCTCACCTAATCGCGGGGTTGGGCGTACCTAGCGAACGTGTTGGCTGTACCTACCCGTGGGGTTGGGACCTAACCTTGCTGTTGGGATGACCTAATCTTACCGACGTGTTGAGGTGTCGTAACTTAAGTGACTTGTTGGAGTGTCTCAATCGATGTGTTGGGGCGTGCCTATTAATAACTTAACCGTGGTGTTGGGAGTGTGCCTAACCTAACCGACGTGTTGCGATGTCCTCACTCTAACGGACCTGCTGGGGGGTGTCTAATCCAGCCGAGCTGTGGGAGTGTCCTAACCCAAGTGATGGAAGTGTCCTAACCTAGCTGACGTGTTCGGGAGTGTGCCGACGAAGTGGAGGTGTTGTTGAGGTGTCGGGGTGTGCAAAAACACAGTACTCACGTTTTTTTCATTCGCAGCACTCTGTCTCCGGTAATGGGTGTAGGTAAAAGGGTGCGAGCATGCTTCGTCTGCCAACAAATCCCCCCCCCCCCCCCGCTCCTACTTGCTGCCTCTAATGGTTTATTGTTTTTTTTTTTTTTTGTATTGTGCGACGCTACGCGCTTTTTCATCGTACAACATGGACACTGTAGTGCGGCACAGACGTGGACGATACGTCGATGATTGCGGAGTTCAAGCAGAGGAAGCGTAGAGCAAAGTTCCGCTTCAGGAAACGGCTGGGCTACGGCCTTCAGCTCGGCGACTTGCTGAGATATCTCCACAGCGAGAGCATCCCGGGGGGCTTCGTCATACACCGGTATGTTGTCCGTCCCCGTTTATGCATGCTCTGCCTCCACTCTCTTTCCTCAAGGATAGCTCTACCGGCAGAAGACATGGTGGCCGCACCAAATGGGAAGAAGGGGTCAGGCAAGCCGACCTCTGTGTTGCATCAAAATGACGACTGATCCCATAACTCCTGGGACCGTCTTGTACTCGTATACAGTATGCGTATGTATCATTTCGGCTGTTTTCGTGCTTCGGGACATCTTTCGCTGGCGGTGGCGGAAGTCAATCTTTTCTCACGCTCCTTACTCAGGGGCACGCAAGGGGGTTGTTGGTACATTACCACGATAGCCTGAGGACCACCATCCACCCGTGGCGCGTGTGCTCGACGCCCAAAGTTAACAAAAACTGGCTCTATACCCCGGGGACATGTGCCGCGCCAAAAAATTCCTTCGCAGTATTTACAAAAATTTCGTTCATCGGCACAAGGGTATTTACTTGTTGACCTGTTGCATGGTCAGTCAACAAATTCCATTTTGACATTTACTTAGTCTTCTGGGCAGACCACACACGATCCCCATCACACCATGAGCAAACGCGGTCCAAAACGAAGAGGTAGAGAGAGAGCAAGAGCAGCGGGTTCCAGCAATACGCTCTGCGGCAAATACGCCGCTACTCTATCATATGTGTGCTTGGGACTCACCACTCCAACAGCTACACAGCGGAAAACACGGACAAACAGGCACGACACCGGCTCAAATTAGTTCCCGATTACCCGCCGGGGTATTTCGCAAGAGGAAAATGTTTTTACCCGGACTGATCCCAGAGAATTTGCGTATGAAACCTCCTAGCGATGGCCGTACAAATACACGAATACCCGCCGAAAAGAATGCAGTTGAACAACACAGCAGCAGCAGTCTGTGGTACATTCAATAGTAGGATCTACGGCAAAGACACCGCGAGCCCACGCGAAGAGTTCCACGGTGCGAAAAAAAATTGTTTCCCCGCAAATTGATGCGAGGTATATTCTGCAGTTGTACCGTAACCAACCGTGGCACTACCGAAGGTTGAGATATACAACGATACAACCATGACAGCCGTGGCCATGTCCTCTTGCGTTGTCCCCGAGCGTCAAGCGCACCTACCTGCCGAAGGGGAGCCTTATATAATTGTAAGACTTTTGTTAGGCTTTTTTTTTCAGCGGCAGCCTTTCAACGGGCTGCTTGCTGCTTGGCAAGAATGGGTTGAATGACATCGAACGAATTCAGCAAAGCACTAACAATAAACGAAAACGCCTTCCTCCTTGCCCCGCGGCATGCGACCGCCCTGCCCGCCTGTGCGCCGACCCAACCAACCCCCCTCGGTGGCCCGAGAGCGTAGAGATCTGAAGCCCAGCAACATCGGAGTCTCCGACGACGGTGTGCTCAAGGTTTTCGACTTCGGACTGGCGAGGTTGCGCGAGCGGAGAGATCCCCTCACGGACCGATATGTGGTGAGCTAGGCCCCTTTCTTAACCCCTCTCGAGCAAAGATATCCCCTCCCCTCACGGACCGATATGTGGTGAGCTAGGCCCCTTTCTTAACCCCTCTCGAGCAAAGATATCCCCTCCCCTCACGGACCGATATGTGGCGAGTCAGCTGACCCCTTTCTTTACCCTTCTCGAGCCGAGATCTCCCCTCACGGACCGATATGTGGTGGGCTAGGCCCCTTTCTTAAAAACCCTTCTGGAGGAGAGAGCTCCCGTCCGATATGCGGTGAGCCAGCTGGCCCTCTGTTCTTGCCCCTCCTTGTTGTTGCTCGAGCAAAGGGATTCCCACCGATACGTGGTGAGCCAGCTGGCCTCTTTTCTTTTCCCTCCTCCTCTCCTTCTCTGGAGCTTGCAGCGAGGGAGGAGGGGGGCGGACGGATGGATCGCGCTCTTGTGTCCGCGTATGTCAACCTTGTGTTAGGATTCGGCGGCGAAAATCCCGATGGCCGACGAAGAGGCGCCAGTCTGCGGTGGTCAAGAAGTAGGCGCACCTGTGCTTTTGTGCGAGCGCGGATTCGGGTTGTTTCGGGTTCCTTTGTCAATGGGGAGATTACTATCGTACGCACATAAAACAACGCTTTTCTTGCCTTCGAAACCCTCCTTCCATCCTCATTACTCGACGAGTAGATGTTGTCCCTCGAAAACCAGATACTCTCCCGTAGATACCAACCGTTTTAGCTAGTCCCACAATTCTGGCTGACTCTGAAGATACTGTACGTGGGTAAAAACTCCCTGTGCTCGGTTTAAGCGCGTCATGTCACGCTCCCCTCCCCGCTGCTGCTGCTGCTGCTTCTACCACATATACTGCTGTCGCTGCCGTTTGGCCCTGGTGCTGTCGTTGTTGCAGATGACGGGCCAGACCGGAAGTCAGAGGTAAGAGAAGACGCCGTAAAAAGTAGGTCCGCCTGTTGTGGGCACTTTCGTCTCCAACCTACATGTAATTTATGAGGATTAAAAGTTCCATGGTTTCTTTACCACAACAAGACTGCCTGTTTTACCTCCACACTAGGTTGAGGAGGACACCCTGAGTAGTCTTCCCCTCTCGTGAGCAGATGGTACGTATGCCTTTGTGGTGCAAAACATGCCGAGGGCGAGAGTCTCTCCGCTTTCCCGATGGGCCGGTTCGAACGGTGTTTCTCTGTTTGTTTGTCGCCTACTCTGTTTTTGTTTTGCCCGACGAAAGCTCGAGCCTGGTGTGGGATGAGTGAACGACTTCCCGCCTCGCAGCCGCCGTCAAACACGCAAACGGCGAAAGCGCGCAAGACACGACGGAAAATAAACTTTGGTTGTTCAAACCCGCCTTCCGTTCCTTAGGTATTTGCTCTCAGTTTTTTCTGTCTTTCCCCTCCCGCCAAGATGCAGACTGTCGTTTCCGGTTGTATTTAAAAGCAGATGCTTGTATCATACACTTCGAATTGTAATTTTTCTTTTTATAGGCCCGTACGGGCAGCCGCTGTCGGTACTATGCATATCTATGCCTTGTTTCTTTTCTCTTTCTTTTTTTTTCCCGCTCATGTTTCCCGCTTCGCACCTTTGTACTTGAAAAGGTTTATGGCACCGGAGGTTTTCGACGGGATGCCCTACAACGAAAAGGTGTGTTTTATAGTATTGCCCTACAGTTGCACCCGCTTAAAAACCTCTATTGTAGTTATGGCCGAGGCAGGGGTTCGTACAGTAGTTCCTATGGTCATGCTACCAATGGCCGCTATATAGGTTTTTGTGTAGGGGTTCTTAACGGAGCTCACTCGTGGTTCTCAAGTTCTTCTATTGAGAGTATTTCGAGGCTCAAGTTTCTTTTCTGGCAGGTTCTGAAGTGCGGGCGCCAGCTGCAGGGTAGGTGAGTGGTGACTCGAACGGCTATTCTTGCCTCGAAACCAAAGCTTGCCCTGCAAAACCTGTCCACCGTGAAACAATTGAGTTGTGAAACTTTCTCTCCCACGCGCGTGGGCGTTCCGGTATCGTGGGGGTTTAGTGGCGATTGTCATTTTTTCCCCTCTCTAGTCGTGTGTGTTTTGGCGTTGGGCGTGCTGGGAATGGGCCGCCGGTTCTTGCCTGTTGACAGAGCCTACGCTCGTCGTGCCAGTCGCTCTCGACGAAACGGTGCCTCTTGTTGGGGGAGGAGGTTGCTAGGGTCTGTCTCCCGTGGGCGTGTTTTTTTTTTTGCGTCGTTTCGCTTTTTGGGGGGATGTTTTTTGTGCTCTTGATGTCGTTGTTTTGCCTCGTGGTCGGCGTTTTCGATGGGAACTCGTTTTTTTCGTCGAGCCCCTGGCTGCCTGGACTGACCCGGCAGCTCTGCGCGTTGTGCGTGCGGCCGGGGTTTCTTGTTTTGCGTGTACATTACTTTCTAGCGCCCTCGACATTTTCCTGGCGAACTAATCTCAGGACTGTTGTGCTGGGGTCTGGATTCTTGATGCTGCTGCTGATGATACTCGCCCCGAAAATTGACGGTTGAACTAATCTCCGGACTGTGGTGCTGGCGTCTGCATTCTTTGAATGTTGCTGCTGCTGCTGCTTTGGCTGCTGTTGCTCCTTCTGCCGCTGCCTCTACTGCAGGCGGACATATACTCATATGGTATCGTACTCTGGGAGCTGTGCGCCCTCCAGAAGCCATTCGCCGGGATGTCTTCCCACGAGCACGCTCGCAAGGTAAACAGCAGGGCAAGCCGGTCTTGTTTCAACTCACCTCTTCGTGTAACGAACTTTCCGTGCTTTCTTGGGTCGCGGCCCCAACAAGTCGGTGTTCGTTTTCTTTTTCTTTTCTTTTTTTCGAGTTCGTACGAGGATCACGGCACCTGTATTAGAACCTTTTGGCATGAACAAGGGTTAGATTGTTCTGGCTGTGCCCGCCTTACGCCCTTCTGGGCTTTGTTGTGTAGCAAACTTTGAACTTTCCCGTTTTTCGGATGATTGGCCTCCATCTCTCTCGGGCATTCAAAAGCGTGTGTATGGATGTGTGCCGTTGGTGAGTTGGCTTGTGGACATGGGGCGCTATTTTTCTGCCTGCCTACAGTAGAACATGCAAATAGGAGCTAGAAAAGGTGGGCGGAGTAGCGCCCAGATTGTCAACACAATGCCAACAAGATGAGAAACGACGACCAGACCCAAGAAACCACAGACAGACGCGATTTTTCACCCACACGAACATCGTGTGAAGCCTGTGGGACCTTCCTAGAAGACCACCTTGTCAGCACCGCTGTGTCCTTAACCCCCGCGGCTGGGCGCGGTGCAGGTGTTCCGGCATGGAGTCCGGCCGCCGTTGGACAAGCGGTGGCCGGAGGAGCTGAAGAGCCTGTTGCGGTCGTGCTGGCACGCCGAGGCGGAGGAGCGCCCGGACGCCGCCCAGGCCGTGGAAACCCTGGCGCGCGTTATCGAGAAGATGGACGCCACCGCCGCCGGCGCCGCCGGCGCCGCCTCTGCACGGCGGAATCGACCCGACAATCTGTTCGGGGAGAGCACGTGACGCCACAGCACGCGTCCGGCGGTATGGTAGGCGGGTAGACACGCCCGCAAGTGTTTGGTTCCGTGACACGAAAGACGTTGTAGTGCTGTGACCGCGCTTCCAGGGTATACTCGGGAGAATTGTTCTGAGCGCGGGCGCGCGCGCGCGAGACTGCGATTTTTATCTCGCTGCCCTCTGCTCTCTCTCTCTCTCTCTCTTCATCTCGTGGGGCGCACGTAATTTTCTGTCGTCGCCTTCGGAAGGGGACAGATTCGATTCTGAAGTCCGTGACTCTTCATGCGCGCAGTCTCGAGGGTAGAAGTGTCACGTCGTGTACAATAGACTGGGTGCATGTTAAGCATGGGTACATGTAAAAGCATGGGTGCATGTCGTCCTGATTCTAGGAGGTTATTCGGAGAAAACGCCCCGTCCAACGACGGGCCTTCGAGCGTAAAAGCCGCACCGCTCGTGTAATTATGTACATAAGCACCCATCGGTTGTGTAGCGGGCGGTACCTCATCGTGCATGCAGGACACGGTTCCCCCGATTGGCCGGCCAATTCCCCGCGTTTTTTGCCTGTTTTATCCTCCACCTGGGGTTGGCGTTTTCGTCGTAGGGGAAGAGTACAAAGACAAAAAGGGAGGAGATCGAGTGAGACCCCCCGAACGATGGATCCCGCCGTAGGCAAGCAAGGCACACGAGAGTGACGGGATTCGCCGGCACGACTTGGAGATGAGTACCAGGTCTTAGAGTAATGAGTGCCGAGTCGGCCTGGGTAGTCTAGCCCTGAAAACCCTACTAAGGGGGCGGCAGGTTGGGCTGATTGGCTAGGGTTCCACAAGACCAGCCGCACATGGTGTTGGCGCTCTCACACACCTCTTCCAGGTGTTACCGGCGGCTGCCCTGTTGGGACGCGGGTTGTCTTAGATTTCCGTCTTTGGTGTGGACGGGCATGTTCATGGATCTAGGGGCGCGTTTGCGGGCAGCCCCACATGTTTTACAATGGTTCGATTACCAGCCCCCCCCCCCTCCCTCCGCGACGAGGCGTATGTATGTGGCAAGAAAGACGCAAAATGATGTTGTTTGTTAGCCGTGCCGTTCTCCCGGTCGGTGGTTTAGTGCCGATGCCTTTGCTTGTGGCAACGACTTGGTGGTCAACCTTGCGCGTCGTTCTGTTCTGTCCTCTGGAGCCAATGGGTATCTCGTCGTGTTTCCGTACGAGAGTGTCTCCTCCTAGTGTTGTGTGGGTAGGTGATGGGTGTCCTGACTTACTGATATGTTCGGATTGCTCGGTTTATCTTCCTTTTTTCTCCGTGAGAGAATGGTGTTTACACAATGTTTGTAGCGAATAACGGAAGGTATTGTTGTGTCCATTGTTTTTCATGTCAGGGAATACGTTTTTTTATCAGTAATGTTCGTCCCCATAATACCCATACAAAATAAATATTCTACCCGTACGAGATAAGACCACGTTCGATTCTTTTTGGTTGGTGGTGCTGTACTTTTGCTGCTGGCAAGAGGAGGGGTGTGTGTGGGGGGGGGAGGGGACACGCCGAAGAGCGTAGCACTATTGTACGGCTTCGATATAGGCGGAGGGAGTAGTCTTCTTCTATCGATTTTTTGTGGTTCTGGGGGCGCGTGTTTTTATATGTCATCACCGGCGTTGTGTTTTTTTGTGACAGCACGATCAAAGCAATCCCTTGCACGTAAGGGCTGCAGCCATTAACGAGAGATTACTTTCAGCATAATATTTCTGTTCTTTGTGTCGATTCGTAAGAGAGAAGCAGTAGCCGAAATTCTTGCTTTCTTTCTGTGTCATTGCGCGCGGCTGCCTGCCGTGATCATCATGCACTACGCTAAACTTGACGTGCGTACAAGTTGCAGTTGGATGGTTATTTCGATCTCTTATGTCCGGCACGTCACCTGCAAGTGTGGTTCGGGACTTCTCAATTATATTATATCTCGAATGGGTAGTCTTTCTGTGTGTGTTTATATTAATTATTCCTTAATTTTCTGTGGTGGTTTGAATCTTCCCGGCTTTGTTTTCATTTTTCTGCGTGGTTTTGTTTCTCACCATTTTGTGCCCTATATCTTGGCAGTTAGCCTGTTGTGACCACGGGATTCCGCAGGCGTCCGCGTCAGATTATTAGAGATTGGGAGGGGCTGCTGGAATAGAGATCGGAACAGATTTTTTAGTGCGAGACAAACACAACAACAACGATGACGGGAGGCTGAAGAGCTACCTACCTAAGGTGGTAGATGACATGATGACCGTTCGGTGCATGTTCCGGCCGTCTGTCGTTCATGGTCGTCTTGGCGGTGCCACTGTGTACAGCAATGAGTGCTATTCCGTCCGGTTCGCACGTCGCATGTCGCATAAGCTCCGTAGATTATGGTGACGTGAACAGTAAATAGTCATCACGTCTTTGCTCGAATTTATGGCGATGGGCTACGCAACCACGACGTCTAACTGCTGAAATATTATTATTGCTGTAATGCATACGTCTCATCTATATTCTGTCAAATATTCTTGCCCTCAGCCAGTCGGTGCTGAAGTTTTTCCCTTTCGGTCGGACGGCAGGACTCGAACTTCGTGCCACCCTTTCCACAACAAAATGACA